CAATGCTTTGGGGGATGGGCGCTCTATGGGACGGGAGCTTGGCTGCAGACTGAGCTGCAGGGAGGAGTTTTGTGTAAATAGGCGGAGCTTTGTACCAGCAAGCATTTAGGCAGCATCACATGGCCACCACAGGAGATTCAAGGATTTCTCCAACATGCATGCATGAGTCAAAGCAGCACTCTGTGTTTGTTTTCAATAAGGGAATGACATTATAACATGATATAAAGCTAAAACAAAAGTAAATTTTGCGCAATACCCCCACTTTACAAATCCAAAACTTTAGTTCACTTTTATGCATTCGTCTAAAATATATAGCATCAATAAAGGGAAAAGGTTTAACTGTGATCTTGTATTTTTATACACAAATTGTTTTTCTCTACAGTAAGTGGCTCTAAAGAAGTTTTTAATGATGAATTAAATGTACTGTATTAATCACTTAATCGTTTTTTTATTATTCTTGCTTTTTCAGTGTTAAGTCCTGTTTAATCATCTTCAATGTTTATCCTCCTCCAACTTCCACTCTGTCGTCTAAAACCTTCAGATTTTTCATCTGTATGAACTGTCTGCACCTCTTCCTGTATCATATTCTCCATCTCTTTCGTTCTCAGAGAGTTATGCTTCCATATCATTTTCCATCCATAGTGTTTGGGTGTTGTGTGGATCATCTCACATCCCATCTGGCCTCTTGCTTCCTCTTCGTTATCCACGACTTCTGCTGGTAATCTTCCCATCACATGTGCCTCTCGTGTCTCTCTTCCATATCATCATCCCCTCCCCTCAGACACGCAAAACAAAGGTGTTAACACTTCTCAGAGTATGTTTGTTTGATAGAACCTATTTACTTGTTTGTAGGAGTTTAGTTTACTCTTTGGAGGTGCTGAGCTTGCAGTCTCGCAGGATAAACTCCTCCTGCCTCCGGTCCTCGCAGGCTGACATCCTAGCCCACAAGAGTGTGCATTCATAATGCTCCCCAGGCCTCGATGAGAGACACGATTGGTAGAATTAATTGTGGCTCGAGGGGCTGAATGAGGAATAAGTGAGAAAAAAAGGCAGGACGGAAGAATGGAGGAGGGGGAAGGGGAGCTGGCTGATTTTAGTGTTGTGCCAAAAGACATAAAATGTTTTCAGCGTTCGCTCCTCTTGTCCCGCCAGATTAATACGTGTGATCCCATTCTCTTTTATAGCTCCTTTTTACCTTTCTCTGGTCGTGGTTCACACCTGTGCTTGCAGAGGGGAGATAAGAGAACCCACTACAGAAACAATCTTAATGTAATGGCCTTCTCATACCCCCTGACAATAACGTTATCAATGAGGGGTCGTTAAGTGGGATAAATGGGGCTTTAAAGGAGGCGTGCTTAATCTGCGAAATTGTCTTTATGTGTGTAATTGTTGGAAATGAAGAGATGTTATGTTCGGTACTCGTTCCCGGTTTAACAACGGGCGATATTTGAAATAAAAACAAAGGAAACTGTTGTTCTTCACTCTCTTATCTGTTTAAGGGAACAATTTTTTTTCTTCACAAAAAAAAACACACAGTCAAAAATGAAAACTTTAAGACAAATCAAACATCTTTTTAAGTGCGAGTGTCCATGAAGGATTTATTTCTGGTTTTATAGGGTCGCTTCATGTTACGCCTGTATGGCAACATAAAAAGCTGGGGGTGGGGAGTGTGTGTATGTGCAGGGAACTGTTTTAGGGGGTGAGTGGAGGGTTTGTGTGTGTGTGTGGGGGGGGGGGGGGGTGTTCATCATTTATTTATACAACCTACAGAAGAAGGGGTTAGCGGCGAGAGAGAGGAGAGAAAGAGGGAATCTGCCTTCTACGAGCCACCCTGGGACTACTGTAGGTCAAGAGTTGTTGTTTTTTTTAGCTACCAGCACAATTCTTTGTCTGGAAATGTGAAGCCAGTGAATGAAACAGCACGCAGGACTGGATTTACTTTGTCAGAGTATTTTATTCAGATCTAGACTGTTTTACACAGGTGTTTTTATTTCTTGCTATATCTTATCAACTAAACCAGATGAAATAGATGGATGAACTAAATTAGGTCAAATTTAAACATTTTGAACTGTTAGGAGTTTCTATTGTTTAATATGATTTTATGCATTGACTTCAATAAGAACCTATTGTATGTTTTACCTGTCAATTACAGTGTAGACCTCATGGCTGCAAGCCTGTGGTTTATAGTCATTAAATGTTGTTAAATGTAATTAAACCTTATTGATTTTTTTCCCCCTGAATGAATTAAAGCCTTGATGAAATGTTGAGGCTCAGCTGCTGTGAACGACCTGCCCTGGATGGTTCTGCACCAAAATCATTTCAGGTCTGGCCTGAATGTAGTGTAGCCTGAACCCTGGTTCCTTTAAATCTCTGAAAAGGTATTCATGAAGCAGACCGTTTGACATTGACTGGAGGGGTCATCTTTATGGCCTGCTGTCCTTAGGTTATGGCAATTTCTCAGGAAGGATATAAATGAGGGAGACTCCAGGTTCCCAAACTATTTCTGCCAGGACCCTCCTTTGATTTATAAGAAACCTTTACCTTTTTTTCAACAATTGAAAAACTAAGCAAGAACAAAAAAACACAAAGAACCCTGAAACAATAACAGAATCTTTATTGGTTTTACTCATTCTTGAATGCCATGTCTGTTATCATCAATCCAGGGTAATGGTGATGATGATGATGATGATGGTGATGATGATGATGATGATGATGATGGTGATGATGATGATGATGATGATGATGATGGTGATGATGATGATGGTGGTGATGGTGATGATGGTGATGATGATGATGGTGATGATGATGATGATGATGATGATGATGATGATGATGATGATGATGATGATGATGATGATGAACTTTCTGCTGACAGAGTGTGTCAGATTAAATGAACATTGATTTCATTTACCGAGACCTGCAGTAGTTGTATCGATACAAAATGTTTCTGTGAATGTTGTCAGTGACACATGAAGGTTTTCTTTCAATCAAAAGTTGGTTTAGTTTCTCATCTATATTATAATAATCCTTTAGAATGCAAGTTTTCTTTTCAAGTTTTCTGAAGACATTTAAGTGGCACCAAGTGTTAAGAAATGTCACATCTTCGTTATTTAGCTCATTTTCTGAGTGTCAAAATTATTATTTAGCTCACTGCTCTTACTCTTTGCTAATTTTTACTAAAAGTTCAATTTATATGTTACATGTAAATATTAAATCCTACATCTAAGTGTAAAAGTTAAATATGAAATGTTGCAGCTAAATGATAAAGCTTACATTTAAGTATTTCAGAATGGAACACAGACTTTTCCATTGGAGCGCAAATTTTGTTATGATGTCATCATCCTGCGACAAACACTGACACTGATAAAGATGGTATTTAAAATCTAAATTCAAAATGTGTTCATTGAAAACAATATGTTTGAAGTGCAGCTTGGACACCAGCTGCAACTTCAAGTTGGTGTCTGTTAGGGAAGCGTTAGCAGCGTTAACAGCATTAGCATTGTTAGTGTTTGTTTTTGTCACAGGGTGATGACATCACATCAAATGCCGTGCACCAACAGCAAAGTTCGATTTTGAAATACTGAAATGCAAATTTTAACATTTAGCAGCAACATTTACATTTAACTTTATATTTTGGTTTAAGTTTTAACATTTGAATTTAACAATAATAAACGTTAGCAGTAAGCTAACTAACACTGAAATATTTTTTAACTCATTTTACTCTCAGAAAGCGAGCTGTGTTAGTGGCATTTTTTAACATTTTAATGTGCAGTTGGTGTCCCATATTTTACTTTTTATTTAATTCATTTCCTGTTCTATAGAATGCAAAACTTTAGGCTTAAAAGCTATAGTTTACCTGCCAAAGTATTTTTATAAAAGTCGCTAAACACTACTGACCCATTTCCTCCTCACTTGTACGTTGCTTTGGGAGAAAAGCATTTGCTAAAAGAATAATTTTAGACATTTTTATGAATTTCCTCTACATTATAGGTAATTTTAGGAGATCAATAAAGACTTGTGTGTAACTGTGAGATGTGACTCAAGACAAGATAAATGATTAAATCAATGGAGAAACTGCAGAGTTGTTATTAAAAGCATCTCTGCTTCTGCCTGAAAACCCTTCAGTAAAACACACAGCTGTAGGGTTGAATTCAAAGATGAACTTTTACCCTGATTGTTCTTTTTATTTGTCAGCACAGAGTGGTGTGAGCTTGTTCTGTACAAGTACACATGCAGTGTGTATGATGTGTGTATTTGTATGTGTGCAATATCAGCAGGATACAAAAGAGGCAGGTGCTAACTCGTCAACCTGAAACACTACTCCATTCTTCCCAACACACTCAGTCAGTACACAGGTGGGAGAAATTTGATTATATATATATATATATATATATATAAGAATGTATAAATGTAGTTATGTATGTATATATTTAACATGGATTTTTTTTAAGTACAGTTTGACATTAGTGAATCACGCTGGGCTCAGTCAGGTGTCAGGTAGTCTGGTGTAAATGAGGCAAAGGATTATTTGAGACAGAACATCGATACTGATTGAATTGTCTGGTCCTAAAAAAAGACACCAGGTTTTTATCACAGAGAGGAGGCAGGAAGTGGCTGCTGATCTAGTTCAGTTGTGAATGAATTTTCATCCTGAACACCCGGGAACCTTAAAGAAATAGAGTACTGAAGAACTGACTTTTTTTTAATTAGTTGTGCTTTTCAGCTGTTTCTTTTAGTAACTAATCCTGACAGGAAGCATCATCTGTTATGGTCTGTTATTATTTTTGATCTCATAATTCAGGAATTGTTAGTTTTATCATTCTGTACTGACAGTCAGAACATGGTTTCATCCTTCTGAGCCTCTCAGTTTAATAAAAAATAAGCCAGACATCAACTCCTACCTGTTTTGCGGGTGTGCAGAGATTTGTAACACTGACATATATATATTTCTTTCTCTGGGCAAAAAGATGTTAAACTTTGTTTTGTTCTTTTTGTTTCAGTCGCAGATGAAGACACGGTGAAGAGATACTACGCAAAGTTTGAGGAAAGGTTTTTCCAAACGTGTGAAAAGGAGCTTCTCAAAATCAACACATTCTATTCAGGTAATAATTTACTTTTCTACACTGAGGTTATAATTAAAGAACTATATAAGAAGTTGTGTAATTTTACAGGTAATGATGCACAAAATTGTGTACTCAAATTAAACTGGAAATTCTGCGCCAAGTTGAGCCACAACTTAGTAGTGCTTCAGAGTTTCAGTACTACCAGACATGACGTCTAATCTTGGTCATTTAGCTGAAGTAGCTGTGTTCAGAGGAGCGGCCCTCCTGTGTGTATTTCAAGGAGCCAAGCAGAATGTGTGTGTGCTGTGTAACATGAGACGATAACCATAATACTTGTGAAGTCTGCCTTCTAGTATTGAACTTCAGTTCAAGGAGGAGCGGTTCCTGCTGTGCAATACTGACAGTTCTTCTTCTGGAGGCCGTTTGTAAAACTGCAGACTATCTGGGTCAACGGAGGGCCAAGGGTAACTGGAAAGACTGTCCCAGCTCATGATGATGGGACATTAAAGGCTGATTGATGCCAAAAGCAGCAAACTGGGTATAAATCACTGCGATTTGTGATTTACCCAAGTAATGAAGGAACTTTGAATGCCTTTAGTTTTTCTTTTAAAACTACACAAAGTGCTCCAAATCCCCTGAACCAGAAACTTTCACTGCAGTAGAGGGTTTCTATAATAGCAGCATATTATATTTTATATTGTTCAATAGAACAGCAGAGGTAAGCATTAAAATTAGAAAATGTCTTCACCTCTACATGCAGTGTTGTTTTCTGCTTAGAACTATTCTCCATCTCCATTTTCTGCTGCTTCTTTATAGTCAGATTGTGGAGGCAACAGGTCCAGGAGAGAAATCCAGACAGAGCAGACAGAAAGAGGAGCAGTGGCTCTACGTCGAGCTCCCCACCCTATCTCTAAGGCTGAACCTGGCCACCCTACAAAGGAAATTCCTTTCGGCCACTTGTATTCACTTGTATTCACTTGTATGGATCTCGTTCTTTCTGTCATGATCTACACCTCATGACCATAGATGAGGGTTGGAACATTGATGGACCAGTAAATACAGAGCTTTGCCTTTTGACTCAGCTCTATCTTCACCATGACTGACCGAAGCAACGCCCTTGTTACTGAGGATGAGGCCCCAACCTGTCGATCCATTTCCTGCTCCATCTTACTATCACTGAGGAACAAGAGACCCAGATAATTAAACATCTTCAATTGAGGCAAATTAATAGCTGGGTTCCAGTCAGGTGATCTTGATGACACATGATTTTAAATGGAGGACATGAAGTAAAATATCTATGGAGGAAACCGTCTTAGAGAGTCCATACTGAAAGATACCAGCAGTTAGTTCACAAATATGTTCAACGTGATCTCAGGAAGTTGAATGAGTTTTTGACCGAACCTAAAGATTTGCCAACAACCGTGGCTGTTAAAATCATAAACTATCTGGTCCTTCAGATGCCTTACTACGTCAAACAGCAGATTAAAGCCTATAAAAGTCTGGAGACGTATATATGTTTTTGTCAGCAGTTGGATCTACAACCTCGATACCAAACGTCTCCATGATAATTACAGTTTGGAATTTGCCAGGGTGAGTGTTTGTTCTGACATTGTTTTATATGCTAAGATGCTAGCTGTAGTGGCTACAACATGAACAAGCATGCAAAACAAAACATAATGAAGGAGTGGAGTGGTTAGGGGAGTCGTCCTGGAACTGGAAAGTCGCCGGTTCGATCCCCCGTCCAGCCATTTCAGTCGTTGTGTCCTTGGGCAAGACACTTCACCCGCCTTGCCTAATGATGGTGGTCAGAGGGTCAGGTGGCACTGGTGCATGGCAGCCTCGCTTCTGTCCGTGTGCCCCAGGGCAGCTGTGGCTACAATGTAGCTCACTGCCATCAGTGTGTGAATGCGTGTGCATGGGTGAATGTCTGAAGTGTAAAGTACCTTGGGGTCCATGTGGACTTGATAAGGCGCTATATAAGTTCAAGCAATTTACCATTTAATGCTAGGGCAGTCTAAAAAGTCCATATGAAGTCCATGTTAGACCAACGGTAACTTAATAATCACTAATAAGTAAATGAACACTTTATGAAGTGGTCGCTGCAGACACTAGAATTAGCAGACCCTCTTTCAGACCGCAGACGTAGGTTTAAAATCCATTTTTTACGACGTTGTTCTGTGAGCTACATTTCTCACCATTGTGTATGACCATCTTTGGTAGTCTATAACAGAGGTTTTCAAACTGAGGTCCCTGGACCCCCTAGGGGTCTGCGAGAGGTATCTTGGGGGTCCTCAAATATTTTTACTAAAATGTTAATTTGATTTTTGTTTTTAAAAATGCATGAGAACAATGAATTAATAAAACAAACATAATAAACTTAATAAAAATATGTATTCCCATGGAATTTAGGGGTTTAAATGACAATAAATTATCTTTTTTAACAGCATGGGGTTTATGAGGGGGTCCCTGGAATTTTTTTAACCCTTGTAAGGGGCCCCCAGACCAAAATGGCTTGAGAACCCCTGCTCTATAATACCCCTTTTCCTTTTCTCCGTTAGATGGATTGGCGCAGCCGTAAACTACACAAATTATATTTATTTATTTTTATTTATAATATTTATTTAACCAGGCAAGTCCCGTTGAGATCTCAGATCTCTTTTTCAAGGGAGACCTGGGCCTGAAGGCAACTTATTGGACATGTTTTCATCGGAAGTTACTATGGTAGACAGGACTAGTGTGTTACTTATTGTCTCCTTAACAGACTGGAGGTGTGAGGTGGTTTAAATGTTGTGTATGAAAACAAAAGCATCTCTCTCCTGCCCTCAGTTTATTTATCCTCAACACACGGCAGGGGCAAGCAAGGAAAGACATGGTTTTGTCTGACAAATAGATTCATCTCATGCTCTGCGTGACTGCGTGTGTGTGTTAGGCGGGTTGCTGGAGTGGCTGGCAGGTGGAAATAAATTGTGTGCTGACTTTACATTGGGAACCTGCCTCCACATCACTCCATCCTTCAGTATCTCCTACTGAAAGGGGTCCCTGACCTCTTCTGCTGCATTGCGCTGAAATCCAGTCAATTGGACTGTAGCTGCAGTATCATGTGTTTAACATATTCTGGAAAGATATATACTGTGTATATATATATATATATATATATATATAGGTATGTTTGCAGACTGCTGTTTTAGTCTAGCAGGTGTTCATACGATCTGCTGTATTTCTGAAAGCTGAGGTAGAACAAAGGGCTTCACTGAACCTCCATCAGTTAAAAGCTTCACCACCAACACCTGTGGGTTTAAGCTTCATTAGCCACACATAGATAAATGTATTCTGTCCTGCAGATTTAATCTAAACCAAGTTTTGGCTAGCATTCTGTGTCCTGGCCTTTTTATCCCTCCTGTTTTGTCATTACAAAGAGTCCAGCAGAAGGATTACAGTGAGTTTAGACGTCAATAAGGAGATGCGGGATCTCTGTGAGGCAGGTAGAGTGACATCTGGAGAATGTGTGTCAGGGTTAGTTCAAGCAACAAAGCATGAAAGTCAGCAGTGAGCCCTCAGCATCGGCAATGTGACTATTTATTTAACGACAGATTGAACCACTATTGTGGCCTTGATTTTCCCAGACTCCCAGGCCGGCAGCACGGCTCAGGACTAAATTAGTTTGTCTTCAGAAAGTGGTTGAAAACATGTGACCAGTAACAAATGATAACATCATTCATGTGTCAAGATCCAGAACCAGGAAAGAAAAAGTGAAGATTTATTGTCCACTCTTCTGTTTTATCAAAAATGTTTTTTTAAAGTCCTGATTTCAACAATTAAAAGTAAATTTACTAGTTAAAATTAAATGTGACGATGGTATGATCTGTCAGTAAATGAAAAGCGGGAGATGTTAATAAAATGTAATTTACTGTTTCAGCCCCGTGTGATCCCCTCCCTTCTTCTCTGGGTGTATTAACCTTATCCTGACCCAAATAATGGTTCTGCAGTCCTTCAGCTGAGCCTTCACGCTTCAGCGACTGAGACTAGGAGGGAGGATTTAAAAACATTTTCGTTCTTCTGTAGCTTTTTGTTGCTAAATGCAGAATATTATCCTGAAACATTGACACTTTTGAGTATCATGTCTCTTTATGAGAAAATACATTTTTTATTTTGTTTTTTCAGAAAATAAGTCCAACATAATGAATCAATCTATAAGACTGAATTGTGCTTCAAGAATTTCTGTGTTTTTTCTTGATGACTAAATTGTATGTAAATGTAGATTGTAAACGTTGAAAATCCTTTTTATTCCCCATCGTGGAGCAAATTGAGGACATTCAAATACCTTCAGTGTATGAGCTTGTGAGCTTAATAACTTGAAAAATAAGTAAGGTACTGACTTCCCCCATAAAACCTTCTAAAGCAGGCAGAAGTGTTTTAGTTGTTACGGGGAGGAGGGTTAGCAAAACGGTCATTTTCGTGTTGGGTGAGGAGTCAGAGGAGGAAAAACTCATTTTTTTCTTGTTAACAGCGGCGCTGGAAAGAAGGCGTGAACGTCAGTTGCACGTTCACATGCTCAATAAGATCAGACCAGCTGCTCATCAAAGCTGTGCATCTTGCTTATTTAAGAAATTACTTCTGGTAACAGATCATTTTAAGCTTAAATAACGTGCAGAAAGAAGTGCTGCTCCACATAAACAAACACACCCATGGATTTCTGCCCAATCGCACACTGTGAGCCGCAAGGTCTGCCGGACAGTGCTCTGACTGGGGGCAATGCACAAGTCGGGTGTCACTGAGGGATAACAGATAAAAGTTACGCAATTTTTTTTGTCACTCAACAGTGTGAGCAAGATATTTGAGGTACAAACCAGCTTTTAGCTAAGAAAGGCCTGGCAAACCAGCCAAACTTATAAAACACAGGGAGAAACCCTACATTTTTGTGTGTCGCTGCATTTTACGGAAGAGCATTGCATTCACCAAAAAAAAAAAAATTTGGACTCCTGATATCATAATTACGAGATCAGGATCTCATAATTATGAGGTCTTACTCATAATTACGAGAAAATGAGATGTCATAATTACGAGATCCTGATCTCATAATTACGAGGTAAGATGTCATAATTACAAGATAAATTAAAGAGAGTCAGCTGATTTACATACAGGAAAAGTAAACGATGACGACACTATCACATTTTATATGCTTTTATTTCCTCTTAGGTATTGGGAAATATTGAGTTTACTTAATGTAGATGGTGTTGTGTCTACTAATGTGGATTTATTAATCAATCCACCTGCACATTGGTTAGAGAGTTCTGTTTAATTCATCTTCGGCAGCTTGGGCATAACACCGTCATTTAGTTGGTAGTGGTGCTTCCGGTTTCAGCAAATGGACATTTCAAAATAAGAGTCTGATTCAATACACTCCTAACAAAACATCACAGAGATGCATGATGCTGTATGGATGATAGTATGTCGACATTACGCAGGTATCTTCCTTGCGGTTGTTCAAGTGAAAAGCCCACTCTGACATACTGGAAGTCGCTCTCTTCCTGCAGTACGGGATGCTACGGCTATAAGTAGCTAATGAATCTGAAATGCTTAAGTTACATCCTGTATGTACACAAAGAGCACACACTTCCTCCTGTTTCAACCCTGGGTCACAACTTTATTTAACTCTGGTGAATTAACATTATACAGCTTGTTCTGGGCACGCGTGCGTTCGGCATTACACATGTCCAGGACTGTTACTTGCTCAAAATCCACAGGAGATCTTAATCTCATAATTATGACATCTTTTCTCATAATTATGAGATCCTGATCTCGAAATTATGACATTTTATTTCATAATTATGAGATCTTTTCTCGTAATTATTAGATAATATCTCATAATTATGACATCTTATCTCGTAATTATGAGATCAGGAGTCAAATATTTTTTATTAGGTGAATGCAATGCTCTTCTGTAGCATTTGGATGTAAGGAAGGTCACTATCAAAAACTGGGTTGCTACGTCAAAATCCAAGATGGCTGCTGCCATATGTAAACCGGCCACCCAAATTATTTGAGAAAACTATATGCTTTTCTAGCTTTTATGTTGCTTAAAAGTATATTTTCCTCAATTGATTGGGGTGGCAGGTGGGGTGGTCGAAAATGTATCTACGATAGGTGGGCAAGGCCACCACTGGCCACACCCTGGCTCTGCCATTGCACCTGGTGGTGAATAAAATTGCTGCCTCCACTTGCCAGAATCTGCCACTTTGAGGAACTTGGAAAAAATAAGTACATACCTTCCGCCTCCTTCACTTGCATTCCTTGTTCAGTTTCAGTTCAAATCAAAAATTAAAAACATTAACTATTCAAATTATTTGGGGGACCGCTCCTTGTGTATTATTTTTTCATCTGTTCTTTGTGTTGTTTCCTGTACAGAAAAGCTAGCTGAAGCCCAGAGACGGTTTGTGACGCTGCAGTATGAGTTGCAGATGTCACTGGATGCTCAGCGTGAGAACACTGCTCCGCCCGGTCTGCGGAAACGCAAGACCATGTTCCACCTGTCGCAGGAGGAGCGCTCCCAGCACCACAACATCAAGGACCTGAAGCTAGCCTTCAGCGAGTTCTACCTCAGCCTCATCCTTCTGCAAAACTACCAGGTTCTCATGGCGCTCACTTGACTCGCACATCTCTAGAGTTTATGAAAGTTCTTTAAAGACATTGTACCGTGTCATGCTTGGTTTCTACAGAACCTGAATTTTACTGGGTTTCGTAAGATCCTGAAGAAACATGACAAGATCCTGGATACGACTCGTGGGGCTGACTGGCGGGTGTCTCAAGTGGAGGTGGCACCTTTCTACACCTGCAAAAAGATCACGCAACTCATTACCGAGACTGAGGTGGCTGCTTGTCTTTGCACAAACACACACCTCTGACACGCCAAAGTTCATCAAACATGTTTGTTTGTTTGTTTGTTTGTTTGTTTGTTTGTTTGTTTGTTTGTTTGTCTGTCTGTTTGTTTCAGACCCTGGTGACTACAGAGCTGGAGGGAGGAGATCGTCAGAAGGCCATGAAGAGGTTGAGAGTTCCTCCACTTGGGGCAGCTCAGGTCAGATAATCAGATTTTTTGTTTTATGTTGTTAATTTGGTAACAAACACTGAACATCACAGTATTTTATGCCTAAGAAGTTGCCAGTTGACTAATGTACTTCACTTTTCTTTGCTAGATTTATTATTAAATTCAATTCAAAAATTCTGAAATATTTTATTGATACCAGAGGGAAATTAGGTAAATCAGGAGAAAAAAGTATATGTACAAATGTTTTGCAGAAGTTGTTCTTTCTTTCTTTCTCTTTCTTTCTTTCTTTCTTTCTTTCTTTCTTTCTTTCTTTCTTTCTTTCTTTCTTTCTTTCTTTCTTTCTTTCTTTCTTGGGCATTGTTCTTATTTTTTATGTAATTTGATGGATATGAAATCATGATACAAACAAAAGTAAGGTTTAATTTAAAGAGAGAAAACCATCAAAGCCTTTAATAATGATTATATAAAGTGATGACATATTATTAAGTAATAAAACTATATGTCAAGCCATTTGTCTCTAAACTTATACTGTATGTACCTTTATTACTGTCATAGCTAACTTTAAATGTTATCAATAAGCAATGGTGGGCACAGTTCCACTAATTTACTAACAGCTGATTTTAATTTATTATTATTTTTTGCTACTAAATTAAGTTCTATTAATTTTTAGTCCACTAAAATATTCCCAAGTGTAAAACTTCTACTTTATGCCATTTATCGCAGATTAAATTTAAAAACAAATCCCCTCTTACAAGCACATGTCAGGTGTGTGCAGAATGTAACACCTTTAGTATCTAAACTTCGAACTAAGAGCATCAAAAAAAAATATTAAGCAATATTTAAATAATGAATACAAAAATTGACTATGCATAAAATGTGGTAATGAAAGTATTTGCTACTTGTTGTTGGACTTACCTCAAATGGTATTTACAAAAATACAAACTAAATCAAAGAAATGATTTTATTCTGAAAGGGTTAATTAAAGTTTATCACAAGTTAGACAGAACTATAACTCTGGTTTGGATTGGCCGATTTGCCATAGATAATCCCACCCACCTTCAAATTAAGCCAATAGAAAACTAACAACAGGTTTCTGTCAGTCTCACCAGTCTTCAACTGGGAGGAGATGACTGACAGTCATCTTAGCGGTTAGTGTTAGGTTCCACTAATTGTTTATCTCTTTAGCAGTTTAGTGTTAGCGGAGCTAAGTTTTTGTTTATCCAAATTGTGGTTAGCGAAGCTTACTTTTTGGTTAGCTGTGCCCATTAAATGCAACTATAATGAATATATTTAAAACGTAATAAATATATTGAAGAAGACCTATAACCTAATTGTTTTATGTGTAATGTTCAGGTATATATAATATTTATTCATGTCTTTTCTCTGCCTGGTTCAGCCTGCTTTGGCCTGGACAACATTTCGAGTCGGTCTGTTCTGTGGCTTCTTTGTCATCCTTGCCATCGCCTTTGTTCTCACGGGTAAGCAACTTTTGGATTTGTGCGTGTAAATTTATTTTTTATCTTCTTTTAGTAGAAATCTTGTATTTTTCTGTAAAGTGTTTTTTTTTTTTTTTGATAAACTGTTTGCTCTGAAGTCTAAATTGAGGGTTTTTTAGTTTCTGTTTATTTTCAAATGTATTTTATTTTTAAAAGAATCGAATGTTTGATATGATTTTGTTAGGCGCCGTGTTCATCCGCTACGAGAACGTGTGGCCTCTGGTGCGGATCTATCGCGGCGGTTTCCTGTTAATCCAGTTCCTCTTCCTGTTGGGCATCAACACCTATGGATGGAGACAGTATGGAGTCAACCACGTCCTCATTTTTGAGATTGATCCCCGGAACAACCTGTCGCACCAACACCTGTTTGAGGTGACTCAAAGCTACATAAAAACACTTTGTAACAACTTTATCTTCACTTAGATAATTGTGGACTTTTCAACTACTTCATGGAGGTTTAGTTGAGAATATATCATAAAAGAAGAATTTGTTTATTAAGAGCAACAATGATGACATTTTATATCCTAAAAAGAAAAAACATATATTTTTAATTAACCTATTTTAATTCCAATCTGTTTCTGTTTCCCTGTCTGTGCTGCAGATTGCTGGTTTCCTGGGCGTGTTGTGGTGTCTCAGCATCCTCTCATGTCTCTACTCTGAGTACATCTACCTCTCCATGCAGATCAACCCTCTGGTTCTTTATGGCTTCATGTTGCTCTTTCTCATCAACCCGTTCAAAACCTGCTACTACAAATCACGTTTCTGGCTCCTCAAGCTACTGGTTGGTCAACTCATTGAGCAGAATCTCTTTCTTTCTTTTCCTTAGTTTAACACATCTGTGTGTAGAGGTTAAATCCTAATTAAAATTCAAAATTAGCTAAAAGTCAAGAGTTTACAGAAGGAAAAAAATTAAGGTTTACAAATGTCAGAGCGCAGAAGGTCTGCTGTTATAATTAGCAAAATGCAAACAAGAACAGATGCTTTTTTACGTAAACAGAGTCAAAAATCTAAATTTTTACATTTTAAATAAATAGCTCAAACAGCAAAGGGATTTTCAGTTTTAATATCTTTATCTTACCCACAGGGGTGGTCCTAGACATTTTGTCCTGGGAAAACAACCCCTCTGGCCCCACATGCCCTTTATTAAGCCCATACCATCCCATCCCTGAGGGCGTGGACACACTCCACCAAAAAACTTGAAAATGAAGAAACTAGAATAATATTGTAAACACGTGGTGAGGCTCATGGCTGGTGATGTCATCAGAATATGAAACCTACAGAGCAGCTTATTCACCATGTGATTGGCAGAAAGTAATGAGTTATGTTTCCTATCTTATATCAGGACAAACTAGCTCACTTGATGCATATTTCATTAAAAAAATAAACTTATGTCCTACCTTTATTTATGTATGAAGTCCATGCACCGGCCATAATATTCATCTCTGAGTCCAGATTTTGTCACAAGTTGAAAAAAGTCAGGAGAAGCTGAAAAAAGCTGTTTCTTGCAGGACATCCAACACAGCCACTTATTTTGTTTGAAAAGAGCTTTTGTATCAGCTGTGGTTAGGGACTTTGATTAAAATTTCAAACTTATTTTAGAGTTGTTTTTCCTTTTTTTTTTTTTTACTGATATGTACGTATGTACTGATTCCAAAACTGTTTAGCTTTTTTTTTTAATCGAGCCACTCATTAAGGATTTAGAGGTCATCTGCTGCTTCAATTTAAAGTCCAGTTTAAAAAATTGCTTCAGCTTGTTGAATGTAATCCTTCCTTAGGTTCAGGTTTGGAAAGAGGAAAAAAAATTATCTCTGCTGAACTCGACTTGCTAACTGTAAGATTGAAGGTATCGTACTGTCTCTTCCTCTGCAGCTATGAGGAGAAACAAAAAGGATCTCTAGGCCAGGGCAATTCAACTAAATCACTCCACACAGTTACTGCAGGTCAACAGCTGAGGTGCCAAACGTCCAGCAATTAAAGTTATTATGTAAATAAGCCAAGTATTACAAATATCTGTTACCTTTGAAATAGTTTATTTTGCTGCATTAATCATGAATACAACATACAGAACCCTGCAAAAGTAGTGATAATAAAAAACAAAAATAACACATTATGCCTCCTATTTGACACAAATACTATTTTAACATCTCTGGCTTGCCAAAATTTTAAACCATTTTTATTAATGGAAATGGAAAAACTAAAGAATTCCCCACTGGTCCTAGCCTGGCCCTTGCCTTCCTACGCAATTCCGCTCACTTCTGGCTTCCCTTCACTGCTCCGTCTGACATTTCTCCCATAGACAAGGATTTCACTGGCAGATTTTTAGCCGAACCAATCAGAGAACAGAACGTCGATTTTCTGCGCAGTGTCTGCTAGTTATTTTAGCATACGGCAGTGGAGGAAATGAATGAAGCCAGTCTGTGTTGATAAGGCTTCCAAATTAAATTAAATTAGTCTGACAAAGCAGCAGCTCTCATTTACAGTCGTCTCGTTTGGCTCAGTTCTTCTCTCCTCTCAGTAGGGTTGTTTACAGCACATGCGATTTCTGGTTAGCTTCTTAGCTTAGCCTCATTCACAGCGACAACACACACACGCTTCAGCAGAGGCCATGCCTCCAGCAAGAATCACTTCTCTATGGCCGCGACTCCAGACGCTCGTACGAAGCAACGTGAAGGACAAGGTCTGGTTTTTACCAGGCTGCACTGGTCCCCTCCTTTCCCCATCTTTACCCACGTGTCAGATCTTAACAACAAGCTGCTCACACTGCACCTGACGGAGGGTGTCCACTCCCCACAAGTGGGCCATTGAAAACCCATATGTGGGCTAGACATGAAATAATCTGAATTATTTCTTTGAGGGCTGAGCTGGGAGCTAACCCTACCCAATGCTCAGCACTAAAGAATAAACAGTTTTTTGTTTTGTTTTGTTTTTACCCTAAATTACCATAGTTTCATAAAATTAACCTCATGTTGTCTGGAAAACCACTACAGACAGGAAATACTTTTTTCCAGGTGCTGTTTTCCAACTATACACATATAGAGTAATTGTTTTTACCTGCCAAAATGGACAGTCTGCGATCTTGAAAGAGGAGCAGTGTTTAAAGTTTGTTTTTGTTTGTTTGTTTGAAATAAAACATACCATTTAGATTTTGAGGAGGAACTAAGTCTCATTGCTAAATTTTAGCAGATTAATTCAACCATCTTCCACACCAATTTATTTCAGGAAGTCCAGGAGGCAAAAGGTCAGAAACTACAGTGAGATTTGCAGGACTTTAGAGTCTGAGCAGCGCTGCGTCAGATATAGTTTTGCGCCTGTGATCATTTTAACCACATGAGCTCAGGAGAAGTGCAGCTGCACGCAGAGATGTAATGTGAAACAGTGTTATGTAAGGAGGAAGCCATATATCAACTTCTCACAGAAACATTAGTTCTCTGAGCTCGTTTTAGCTGGACAGACAGTGGGTGCGTGTTTTGTTCTCAGACGAGTTCACGCTTCAGATTGCTTTTAGAAGAAACTTTCCTGTTTGTTTTTCAAACAGCCATCATTTATAGGTTTTTATATAGGAGTGACTGATCACACGTGTTTTGATTTTTTTTATTATTATTACAATAGAGTTGGTGATGTGGTTCAGTTATGTTCAAGGATTTTAATTTTATCTGTATTTTAGAAAACTTTTCAACTTTCATTTACAAACTCCCTTTATTTATCTCATCTCATTGTGATGCATTAAGTGATTTGCCTTTAAGTTCAGACAAGTTCAATTTAAAAAATTAGGTCATGCATGAAGTTAGCTTTGGTTGCATGAACACTTTTTTAACTCTGAAAACAAAAAAAAAACGAGAAAATGGACAGAAAAAAAGGTTAAATTGGTGTTTGTGTCAAGGGTTTTTATTTGTTTTGTGTGGTTTCCTACTGTATTGTTCTGCATTTGCATTTTGAGTGCAATCTGGATGTGTGTGTGCATATGTGTTTGTTACTTTTGTAGAGGCCATTTGTGACCGTTTTTTTTTTTAAATACACACAGCCCTGTAGTTTAGGGTAAAGGTCAAAGAAATGAATGCAAAGTCTTTATGAAGATAGAAGAACATGAACCGTGTGTGTGTGTGTGTGTGTGTGTGTGTGTGTGTGTGTGTGTGTGTGTGTGTGTGTGTGTGTG